TCAGCTAGCTGGAGTCTTCTTGCTTTAGCAAGTATTGGGGGGGCTGCTCAAGGACATCACGTGATTTTTCACGCGAAAGGCCCCCCCACCACCACCACCACCACCATCACCACCATCACCACCATCACCATCATCATCATCATCGTCATCATCATCGTCATCGTCCTCTCCATCGTCCTCGTCATCGTCATCATCATCATCATCATCATCATCATGATCATCATCGTCATCCGTATCGTCATCGTCCTCGTCATCGTCGTCATCGTCATCGTCATCGTCATCATCATCGTCATCATCATCATCATCATCATCATCCTCGTCATCATCATCATCATCATCGTCATCATCATCATCATCATTCATCATTCATCATTCATCATTCATCATTCATCATCCATCATCCATCATCATCATCATCATCATCATCGTTATTCAATTACATTTTATCATTATTGGCAATTATTGTCATTATCACGAAAGCTAGCGTCAGCTCGCTAGAGTCTTCTTGCTTTAGCACGTATTCCGGGGCTCCCCAAGGACATCACGTGATTTTTCCCGCGAAAGGGCCCCCCCCTGCCCCCTCCCCCATATATATCATTGTTATATATCATATATCAATATATCATTGTTTCATCCTCGTTGGGACGAACAATGCCGCGACACGATGATGACAGTCCCTCCGCAACTCACCTCTTCCCTTCCTTCTTTCTCCTACCCCGCTAGCTTTCGTCATCCACCCCCGGCCTCAAGTTTTCTATACGGGCATTTTTGGCGTGAACATGGAATGAATCATTTGTTGGTTGAAATGTTTCAGCTTCGCGTTCGTGGTGCCTACATATTGTATTGTCATGCAAAGGATTGTCACCAGGCTTAATTACCTGCAACAAACGTGGGAAAATGCATATGTGCAGACGGGCTCGGTGAAACCTGACGCGGACGGAGTTGTCCCTAATGGCATGGGGTGGCCCCCGTATCTTTGCTTTTGCCTGTGCCCTTGCCCTGCTTGTTCATCACCACCTTGGCTCTATCCATGATTTGCTGCAACTGCGCGCATGATTGAAATTCATCCCAAGCAGCCCATCCATTGGCCCATTCAACAAGAAACTCTCCATTTGAAGAAGTAACTTGCACAACCGTTTTGCCAGCAATTGTCATTTTGGTGTAGTGCTCGTCGATTTCGATTTCACGTTTCACAAACCCCCACTCACCAAGTTGCCAACGAAGACCTAACAAAAACATTTTGCGCGCACGGGTCGGGATTGGGAGGTCCTGTGTTGCCCAAATGTGATGCTGATCATGTTTGATGTTTGCACTCCGCAATGTCGCTATGGCAATGTCCCGGTCATAGGAAGAGGAGAACTTGGCAAACAACACGCCGTTGAAGGACTGCGCTTTCATATAGGTTTCACTTGGGGTTGGCACCTTCAACGTCTCCAATTTGTCACGTAACCATTTTGTAGCAACTTGAAGGGAGTCAAATGCCTGCAAGCCTCCAACCACCATAGTTTTGCACATTTCTCCTTCATTGGAACGGGGTTTTCCTTTCAGAATATCGATCTGGCATTGAAGGTCCGAAATTTTATCCTCAAAGTCCAACAGGGGAATGGTCTCGGGGGGGGTCTTTCGCCATCAAATTTTTTAAGCGGGCAATACGCACATCTTGGTCACCCACTGCGTTCTCAATTTTTGCTACACGATCATCAAATGTTGCACTCATAGCTGTCAACTTGCTTTCCAATAGCTCAATTGCAGTTTGTATTTCTTGCCTTACAACAGCCGCGATTGCATCCAGAGAAGGTCCACTGCGATCAGAATTTGAATTTGATTTTGGAGTTCCAACCAGTTCATCATCATGTGTGTCATCTCCATCCATTTCATGTAAAGGAGATATCACCCTTCTCTTCTGCACTGGCCTCTCTGGAGTCGTTCCCGCCATTGTTGCGACTGGTTGATTGATTGAGCACAATCTTGAGCCAAAAATGGCTTGAGCCAAAATGGCTACGGACAAAAAAAACGAACTTGCAAGCAAATTTGACTAACTCAACATTTCTTTTTATATAACCAGTAGAGTAGATTATGCATATTGATACGTACAACGTACATAGCTACACATAGCAAGTAATACCTATCCCACCCCACCCCAGCAGTAGCTCATGATGAAAGAGCAGTGCCTGTTGCCGTGCCTCTGCGTGCGCAGGAACATGAACGTTATTATCCCACCCCACCCCACCCCACCCCACCCCACCCCTCTCCAGCAGTAACATGAACGTTCCGGAATCTTACTGCCGCAAGTGATTGGTTTTGAATCGTCTTACAAGAGTCTTACTGCTGCAAGTGATGGAAAATCTCACTGCCGGGCCGCAAGTGGTCGAATCTTACTGCCGCAAGTGACGGTTGAGCCTGTTAATTTTCGGAAAGGCTGTCAGGGGGCGTCAATTCCACCGATGCTCGCCCCAGTTAGTGAAATCATTCCTGGGGCGTCTGACGTCCCAGCATTTCGTCCTGCTTTCTTTCGATAAGAGGGTGCCCCAGAAACTTACCCCTGCCATAGCCTATCACGCAACCGGGCCACGGATTACGCGAGCGAATCGCGGAAGCAAGTAACGCAAGCGAGCAACGAGCAAAGCACATCAAAGCACATCAAAGCACCGCACGTCCCTTTCCAACCCACTGGGTGCTTTGAGGGCGCGAAATTATTCCTGGAGGATTTTGTGAGGTGTGTGGGCAAATGGTTTGGGTTTTGCCGTGCTAGTGCCGCGTTCGACCAAGCAGGCGGCACCAATACTTGCTTCAAGTAGGTAGGATGACAACAAAGACAAGAGACAAAACGCAGAGGAACCAAACTATAACAACGCAGGCCCGAGACAAAGACAAGAAACACATGCACAGGAAAAAAATATGCGAATTTGGGCGTGCCAAGGAACTTCCATTTGATGATGAAAACGTGTAGGTAGAAACAAAGATCCAAAACACATAATTTGCCATCACCACAGGAGCGCAATCCTTCTGGAAACGCAAAGGAAAATTGAAGACAAATTTACCCCCTCTGTTTCAGATGTATATTTTTATTAGTTTTTATTGTTTCCCATGTCTATTTTTTTTTTAAAAGGTAGTTTTTTTTTTAGAATCATTTTTTTGTGGGTCTCAGATTGTAGGTGCCAGTGCAGTGCCGCTTTGAATTTTCAACATTTTTTTTGAAATTTTCGTGGGAAATTCTTCCAACAACTACACCACGTCTTAGAATATTGTTTTTTTTGAACTGGAAGGTCCTCGGAATAGTAAAATATATTAAAATTAGAATTATTAAAATATTATTCCTAGGGGTCCCCTTCGGTGGGGGTCTACTAAGGTATGTTTTATAAACAAACCAACTTTTTGGCACGGTAACCGAAACAAAGACCAAACAGTGAGGAATATTTCCCAGTCCAAACGCGCCCCCACACGCAGTGGTGTTGTTTGCCGCAGTTGAGGTATTCAAACAAGAACTGTTGGGATGTCAATGGTGTCAATGATGTCCATGATGTCAATGATGACAACGATGACAAAACATGCCCACATTGAAGGTTTTTTGTGGGACAGGCGAACAGACGCAACCAGATTTTGAACAGATTCGGCAGGGTATTTTTTTGTATGGATGGAGTTGTTGAACCCAGCCAACATCAATTACAGACATTTGTTGTCATGCAAAACTAAGTCAATGTCAAGTATTCCACCACACAATGCATGAAAACAATGCACCAACATGGCAATTCAGGCTGGGCAAGTGTTCCATGTTTGTATGTTGAAGACTAGTCAAAATTACCGTCAGTCGACCGTGAACGATATGCAGGGTTGCGCACAGGTGGATGATGACAATGTCAGGCAGCAGCCACCGCCTCAGTTCCAATGGGTTGGCGTGATGGGCATCGACATGTGTTGATGTGAAACATGTCGAACCCATTCAAATAGTACATGTGTATATATATATAATTAATAAATATACATATACATAAGGGCAGGAGGCCTGAAACAGCTTCGCCACAAACGATTTTAAAGACAAAACAAACTTTGAAAAAATGGTTGCAAACATGTTTGAGGTTCATCGACATTTATAATAGAATATTAAATGCATTCATAATAGTTTGTTAAATACATTCATTGGGGATCTTTCAGTTTGTTCTGGTGGGAAGGATTCTGAAACGTTGCGTTTGAGAAATCATATGGCACTCAAACCAAGATGCTTATCAACCTATTGGTTTGCACGCCATAAATTTAGCAATATCTCGCTTGACCCATGCCCGCTTTGAGCCATCAGTGTTTGAATCTTAGAATCTTATCGGGCAGAAAGCCGAAACAGTACATGAATGTGATACATACTAATTATTGCAAGTACTATGAGCCGTTCATCATAGAAGACATTTGATGCGCAAACCAAGGAAATCCAAAATCCATGATGTGCCCAGCTTCCTTCATAAAAACATCCCACTCTCTAATTAGATATGTTTCTTTTTGGTGGCCATGCAGACGCCCGGAGTTTCGTCATCAATTAATGATGGGATCCGAGACACACCTGATATCCCAATGGGTTCAGAAATCCGCAAACCATCCGCTGAAAACATGAAACGTGGATGCAAAATATAGACCATTCGTTGAGGGCACACGGTGACTGAAAGGATTGGGCGCCTTGAGTATGATGAAACTCGGTGAGATTCATTTTTGCGCTGAACCCAGTCATTTGCAACATTTTGCAACAGTTGGGGAAACACTTCATGGCTCCAAGTTATTCAAGGTGGTGTTTCGCTGTCGATTGCAACACCAGGTCGCAAAATGGTGCAAATTGATGCATGCGGAAAGGAAATGACAGAATTATTTAGTTTGGTATAGTTTGGTGCCAGCTACCAGGTGTCACACAATTTTCCTTATATAATATCAGTTTATATATCTCCATACATTGGAAGGACATGTAGCAAATAGATGCAAATAGCGAATTTATGTCGTTCACATCCATATGATTTTAGCAAATGGTCACGCTGCCTGCGCACACTGCGTTCCCTGCAAGTGTGCGTGCAATTTGCCAGCCAAATTTGTCCGTGAAACAACGTGAAAGATTTGACGAAACTTGGCGCAATTTTTATCTCTGTTCTTCTTGGGTTGTCTAGGAGTCCAAAGAAGCAGGGTGTTCATGGTACAATGACGGGACAAAAAGTATTGTATTTCGTTCTTATTGTGATAAGATCACATTCCAGTTTCATGGCAATTGCAATTTGATCAACTGCGCATGTTGGTAGCCTCATGGCATCAAGTCCGTAGCAACCGTAGCAACCAGCACTCATCAGCACTCATTACCAGTCAAACAGGCGCAAATTTCTCCACCTCATCGGCTGAGCGTCTTCGCCGCTGGGACAAGCTTTGCACCTCATCTGAAGTCGAACATGCTAGAACCCAGATTTTTGTTTCAGGGTTTCAACCAACCCACCACACATGTAGTTCCTCCAATAAAAAGGGGTTATTGATGGCCGATTAACCGCCATTATTAACAGGTTATCATTGGGAGGTTCACCTTGCTGGATGGACCCTCCCGTTGGTGCTGAGGTGTTCGCCAAGCGGATCCGAAAGGGAACTGCAGTAACAATGCTGGGCCGGCCAGAGTCAGTAGAACCCATCATGCCTTTGCAGGAGCTGTGTTACATGCATGCATACGTAGATAAATAGATACGTAGATACATAGATACATAGATACATAGATACATAGATACACACACACACACATATATATATATAGATAAAGATATATACTGTAGATATATAGATAGATGGATAGATGGATAGATGGATAGATGGATAGATGGATAGATGGATAGATGGATAGATGGATAGATGGATAGATGGATAGATGGATAGATGGATGGATGGATGGATGGATGGATGGATCGATAGATAGATAGATAGATAGATAGATAGATAGATACGTACATACGTACATACGTACATACGTACATACGTACATACGTACATACGTGCATACGTACATACGTACATACGTACATACGTACATACGTACATACGTAGATACGTAGATACGTACGTAGATACGTAGATACGTAGATACGTAGATACGTAGATACGTAGATACGTAGATACATACATACATACATACATACATACATACATACATACATACATACATACATACATACATACATACATACATACATACATACATACATACATACATACATACAGATACATAGAGAGAGAGAGATCATGAAGGTTCAACCAGCACCCCCACAATGCCACATGTCCAATGTAGCCCTTTCAAACATATTGATGGTTAACCCGATTAAATCCCGACGAGCCAGGAGATTGAAATTTGTTGGCGTGCAAAAGTTGGCAAACGTGGTAAACTTAATTGTAAACGCCAACGTTGCGATAACATATGTCATAAACGGGACAAATAGCGCCCGCAATGGTGTAGTCGTTGATGCTACTGTAGCGGACCGTTTGCCGTCGCACAAAATGTGATAATGTCTCACACATGGGGTGGGGTGGGGTGAGCTAATAACGTTCAAGTAGAAGCTGAGTCAGCACGGAACATGCTGAGTCACTGGAAGGGTGGTGAGTAACAAACAGGGAACATGTTACGTCACTGGAAGGGTCTTGAGTTACAACGAGGGAATGGTTTACGTCACTGGAAGGGTCTTGAGATACAAGCAGGGAAACATATTGGCAACTGATGCTATGACTTTTGTTGAACAGTATAATGATAGAAATTTGAAAACCCTGGTCACCGCAGATGGCGCCAAATGTTATGTTCCCCTGGCGAGGAGGTGCGGTTTCTTGCTTCGACAGTGTCGTCACTCAAAGGGAATCTCCTCACTGACTAAATGGATTCGCAATCGCCGACAAGACAAAATTAACTTAGGGGGTGGTTGACAGTTTTGGGATTGTATTGATGCAAGGAATCTTTGCAAGCCTCGCTAGCTTGCAAAAGGGGAAGCCGAACCCAAAACTTTGGACATACGTCCGAAGTACCCATTGGAGATGGGACATGAATTCGGGTGACTTTTTAGCGAAAACCGGCATAACTCTAAAGGAAATGTGATTGACCTGCGGGCCCAAAAAGGTGAAAACGAATCCGCACCGTTTTGCAAGAGAAAACCACAGAATGGCTAACAATTTTAATCTTCCCGACTTTTATTTTTGAAACCACTTTTCACGCATGAAATTGTCATGGCGCTGTGGCGGCGTCGTTATTTTGACATTTTCGTGGGCCGGTAATCGGTCCGCCGGGTTGTTTATGTTTCTGACTTTAGGTATATCAAGTTGCCATATATATATATATTAATTGTATGTCTATCTTACAGTAGAACTCGCACGAGGCGGGCGGCGGAAGTTTCCAGCAGCAAGGAATGTGACACTATAGAAGTGAAAGGCAAGGTTTGCCTACAGGAGTTGGCGTGAAGCCTCACATCTTCGAAACTCTGTTCTGTGAATTCGTCCTTGTCTTGCTTCACCCCTTTTCGACTATGGCCAATGATCCCTGGACTTAATGATCCTTGGGCTACTTCTCTACTTCCAAAAAAAACCAACTGGACACAATGATCCTTGAGCAAATTTTCTACTTTATTCAGGAACATGCTAACTGGACACAACGATCTCTGTTCACTTTCCGTAGCTCGGAGTTTCTCTCACTATTGCTGCTTCATGGCATCGGGTCTACCACATCCGCCTGAAATTAATCGGCAGCCCTGCAGGAAGCTTTGGACATCATGGTGCCACCCGACGAGGCGTTGCATTGGCGCATCCGTTCCCTCTGTGCGATTGGCCAAGGGCGGCTCGTAGAGGAGGCCTGCAAAGACACAAGGTGGTATGGTCATCACGTGTCATAACCCTAAAAACGATCAAAAACGATAGTGTTTAAAGGTTTAAATGTGCTTTAACTGTTTCATATGATAGGTCAGGTGTTGACACTTTTTTAATGGAATATGATGATTAACCCATTGGATTTAGGGCTCAGTGGGAACATAGGGGGAGGTTTCTGGATCAACCAGCTTGTGAAGCCACATGGAGAACACACGGAATAGGCCATGATGTCATCATGACACAATATGTGGAGGATTGCGGAGTCATCATGGCTGTCATACTCACTACATTTCACTACAACCCTTGCTGATCTTACTGTTGCAACAGTCTGCAACAGTGAAATTGTAAGTCTTTCATCCTCGTTCTTTTCTACCACATCAACTCCAGACTTGGAAAGCCCTTACGTTTGGTTTTCCACCTTCCTCACACCGAAGCCTGGGTTGTGAAGCTCTGGGTAGTAGGGTAACTGTAGGGCTGTATCTCGGGGCTTGTCGCTGCAGTGTTTTCCGCTGGGAGGTGCCCCCAGACGGCCTCCGCTGTAAGACTCTGGTGGTCACGTGTGTGCCTGCGGAGAAACGGAAGGGGAAGCACGCCAAAACTGCAGCTGTCATGGTGGTGCTCTTGGTTGAGCGGCGCTTGAGCATTCCCAAACTGAAGTCAGAGAACCCAGAGGGAGTTCGTGGACAAATGGCCAGAGACGGGCTGAAAGCAGAGGATAGGCACCTAGTGATGACTTACTATACGGACTATACGTCAAACAGTTTCCCTGGACAAGTAGGGTGGACAGATCTTGAAATTCAAAACATCTTGAAACTAGTTCTGAAGGATTTGAAGGCTGGTTACATGTAACATCATCCCTCTCCTTGCAGTTCTTCGAGCTAGCATCAAGTACCCCTCAGTTCACGCTAGGGTTAAGTTCGGATTGCTTCGTTGTGGCCCCAGTACCGTGAAAAACAAGATGAACTTGGGGGGTGGTTGATGCTAACTCTTGGAGGGTAACCTTGAATATGACAGGGAGTGGACTGGAATTCAAGATCGACTTGATGATCAGGCCAAACGAGGGGTCAGTTGAAAGCGCATTTCAGGGATTGGCATCCGGAATGTGCCGCAGGACACGTATCCTTGTTGTTTCCTTGGCGTCGCTGTTTACTACCACCTTTTTGAACTTTTTTTTTTGGGAAATCTTTGACCAAGATGGCTTCAGGCAAGTCCTGGCGAACAGTGGCTTGAAACCCGAGGGCTTGGCCTCCCCAGAGGAAGCTGAAAGGGTGGTAGGTTGCAGCATGGGCCCCTTGGACATCCGTTGGGTGGTATCACTCACCATGAAGTACGCCTGGTTGATAGCTCATACCGCCTGCGGAAGCACCCCCCCAGTCACCACAACAGATTCGACGGGAGCAGCCATGGCCATGCAGCAACCCTAGGATAGTCATGGATAGTCTTGGAAGATAACTCCCTGTTGGGAAATGTCGCGAATGCTTCAAGACCGAGGCATCGTTCCTCCCGTTTGCATTGAACCCAAGCCGCCCATGGTGTTAGACTCGCAGCTTTTTCAGGCCGAAAAAATGTGGGTCCGGCGGGGAGATCGGTTCCACCACATCGTTGCTTTCAAACCTTCCAAGGCTGCATGCTGATTGCATAGATTACATGATCAGCAAGAGAGATGATCGTAATTGATAGTATATAATTGAGATATTTGATGTATTGGTATATTGATACATTGATATTGGCATATACATGCATATATATATATATACATATATATATATATACATATATATATGTATTTATTGATATTGGTATATTGACATATTGTTTTCTTTTATTGTGATATATTATGATATTATCATATATTGATATTTTGATATATATATAAATATGATATATAGATCACACACAGAGGTATTAATTATATACACATGTGCTGGCACGTTTGCGGATCTCACCAGGCAGGTGCTGGCACGCTGGTGCTTGGTGCAGCGCATCCGGAATTGCATTTGTTGATGTCCAGCCGTGAGTTGTTGCTGGAGACAGAGGTGGGGATGGACACCAAATGCCATGGAATTTCCCTCAATCAGGAATCAATGATTAACATGATTAACATGATTAAAACCAAATCAATGATGGAAACTGTTATGTCAGGTGAGGATCTCTAGACTAGATTTTCTGTGATTTTGTGTCAGCTACTCCTTTTTATCCTTTCCACCTTCTGCATTTCCTCCGTTTTCCTCTCTTCTCCTCTCCTTCCCCTTCTCTTCTCCTCCCGTCCTCTTTGCTGCTGTCGGCTCAGAATGTGTCACCCCGGACTCCCCGACCTTGTCCCTACAAGTGCGTGGACAGAGAGTGTCGCACCTAGTGTCTCCGCCAATTCCGCGGACAGCTTGTCACATTACATGCAACAAAACATGCTCGAACAATCCAGACATATCCACAATGTTCCACAATATATGTCAGAATGTTTGTCGGTAGTTAAATGTCCGTCATGCAACATTACATGCAATAGTGTGCATAAATATGTCATAAAAGATGTCACAATCTATATCGCAATATATGCATGCCAAAATCTCTGTGTAACGGTGGGGATCACACGGAACGTAATTTTGCTTTCCTGGTTGCTTGATGTTGAATATCAAGAATCGATGCAGGGCAATGTGGCAGATATCTCCATGGATACTGCAGATGGTGTGGAAGCAGAACCCTCCCACTTTCCGCTTCGCGCAGCTGAAGGAGCCGCGGTGCCAATTTTTACTCACGACTCACCATTGGGATCCCCGGTGCTTTTTGTCATTTTTTGTCAGTTGCCTAGTGAGCTCCTTGTAAGCTGTGTGACCATGTGGCCTTTTTGGCATAGTCTTTTCAACCTTCCCACCGTCAGTGAAGTCCTTGTGATCCTTGTGGCTACATGACCAGGTCATGCTTTCGGCGCGCATCTGCCAGGCAATGTTGTGCACGTTGTTGCTCTGGTTGCAGCCGTACGCCGTTTATCGCGTCAATTGCTTTTCGCCGACCTGCTGCCTGCGGGGATGACTCGCGATGCTGAGCGGAGCATATGGCAACTTTGCAGAAACGGGTTTCGACTCGACATCTATCGTTCTTCCAAAGTCAAAATCAAAGAAGAAACACCAAAGACTCAAAGACATATCCAAACAAATATCATCAAACATCTGTTCTCATCTAGAAAATCCTTCTCACATCATGTCTCTGGTTGTTGTTGTGGCCAGGCTGTCCCCGGATGGGTCGGGGAAGTTGGTACGGCTGCAGCTGCTGCTGGGCCGATCCCTGGCAGAGCGCGTGGGGGGGGAAGGCCTGGCGCAGGTCATCAGGCGCCTGAGGCCACAACAGCTGCTGGGCCATGCTGGGCCCCTGAAGATCCCAAGGGATTCCAAGGGTGCTGAGTTGGTTTTAGATGCTTTTATTTTACCAGATTTACCAGTACTTCAAATGTATTTCCCGGTCTTGCCCCATGATTAGGAAGGTTGGTTTAAAACTGCGATATTCCACTAGGGTTTATGGATGTTTATGATGTTTATAGGTATACCGTATACAGTATATCTTGAAATATTGAGAGAGAACGGGGTTTATAAGGCAACTTAAACCTGTGAGGCACCACATTGTTAGATCTTGATGAATGGGAGTTCATGCGTGGATGGTGGAGGATGGCTCCTGGAAAAGTTGGTGGAGACATTGGTTTGGACCGAGCATGGTATCTCATGATAAAATCCGTGTAACACTAACAGATATTATTATGCATGTCAAAATTGGGTGTGGGATTTGCAGTTTAAGCTAGATCTTGTCCAGGCGGGTAATGTACCGGACCTTTTCTCCATAGGGCCTCATTCTTCCGATAAATTTGCACATGATCGATGTTTATTCTATTTTTTGGATAAGCACCGGAAGACTACAGTGACCAGAGGACAGACAAAAGGGCTATATACTAACATGTTTCATAGGTTATCATCATCATCATCATCATCATCATCATCACCATCACCATCATCATCATCATCATCATCAGCATCAGCATCAGCATTCATCATCATCATCATCATCATCATCATCATCATCATCATCATCATCATCATCATCATCATCATCAGCATCAGCATTCATCATCATCATCATCATCATCATCATCATCATCATCATCATCATCATCATCATCATGAGCATCATGAGCATCATGAACATCATGAACATCATGAGCATCATGAGCATCATGAGCATCATGAGCATCATGAGCATCATGAGCATCATGAGCATCATGAGCATCATGAGCATCATGAGCATCATGAGCACCATGAGCATCATGAGCATCATGAGCATCATGAGCATCATGAGCATCATGAGCATCATGAGCATCATGAGCATCATGAGCATCATGAGCATCATGAGCATCATGAGCATCATGAGCATCATGAGCACCATCATCATGAGCATCATGAGCATCATGAGCATCATGAGCATCATGAGCATCATGAGCATCATGAGCATCATGAGCATCATGAGCATCATGAGCATCATGAGCATCATGAGCATCATGAGCATCATGAGCATCATGAGCATCATGAGCATCATGAACATCATGAGCATCATGAGCATCATGAGCATCATGAGCATCATGAGCATCATGAGCATCATGAGCATCATGAGCATCATGAGCATCAGCAGCATCAGCAGCATCAGCAGCATCAGCAGCATCAGCGCCACCCCCACCACCGCCACCCCAACCACCACCACCACCAGCAGCACCAGCAGCACCAGCATCACCATCGCCATCACAACCAACATCAAACCAATGATGGATGTTTCTGAACCCAGGCTGATCTATGTCGCTGGACGCTTGCAGTTGGAAGAGCCCGGGGAGCAGTGTGGAAGGAAAGCCCCCTCCGCTCCACATGAGGCGCATGATGAGAGTGGAATGGCAATGGAATGGTAAGGGAAAGGTGTTGGGATGGCAATGGAATCCACACTGTTTTCATACATTTTAAATCATTTTAAAACATGTTGCATCATGTTGAATCTGCACGAAGCTGGGAGGTCGGAAGATAGATCGGATATGATCGGATGGCTGATGCTCAAGTTGCTAGCTGAAAATCCTCTAGTGCCATATTTGGGGCTGACCTGGAGGTAAGTCACTCCTACAAATGATTCTTCAGTTGACAAGACCAAACAGCATTAATTTAAAAACAAAAAACTTACGACAACAGCCACTTCGCTGCAGGGAATTGGGAAAAATGGGACTCTTTGTGACACTTGGGGCTCTGCCATCCCATCACTGCGGGAATCTGTGTCAGGTGAAGAAAATCCGTGAAGCTCAGCTGAACAATGGGATCGTGGACATGGTGGCAGAGCAGCTTCTTGGACTGGACCTTTTTCATCCTTTTCCATCCTTTTCCCACTGGTTGGTGACGGTTAGTGACTAAGAAAAGGATGGTTCACCCCCTTATAGGTAAATGATGACAAATGGCATAGGCAAATATAGGCAAGCTATTGGGTGATGGTTTGTGGTTGACCAATGTTGACCACCTTGGTGCAGAATTTGCTGTTTGCCAAACCTCTGAGGATTCGGATTCTGGAAGAGGCAGGGAACACGGGGCGAGCCGAGCCGAACACCCCATCGGTGCGATTCCCCACAATGTGCCGCAGGTGCATGTGCCATCGCAAGAATCTGCAGGCTCTGCCCGGAAGGTTGGAGTCAAGAAGGCTGAGGCTCGACTGGCTGGTGGCTCAAGAAGTTCTGACATCCACACAGATGCGAAAGAGGGAAATGGACACATAGTTCCAATAGCATCAATAGCATCAATAGCTTTATAGATGATATTAGGTGTTAATATTGGACAATGTTGGTCAACAGTAGTTGCAACATGTTGCAACTGTTCTATCTCTTGGGTTGACACAGGTGAAAGGTGCAGAAGCGGATCAGCCAACATTGCCTCTGTCCCTGCCGGGCAGTGCGGTGCACCTCGTTGTGGATGATACAAGTCTTCGATTGCTGGAAGGAGTGCTGCGTGAAAGGCTGATGGTCTGATGCTACAAATGGTGAAGGGTTGTGGTGGGTAGGACACGATATGACTACGGTAATGTCATACAAATGGGGGCGTTTCCGAAAAATCGGGAACTGGTGCGAACTTTGCACATCATTAAACCGCTTGGCAGTGTTCCATGAGTATGCTATGCTTGGGGCTGATCCTTTTGGGTCGCATTTGCCCCACCAGGGAACATCAGGGAACAGGGTCTAGAATCTAGAATCATCTTGCATCCCTAGCACCCAAGTAGAATATCATTTTTAACGCTCCGCGTGACCTGTACCCGAAAGTTTGCCAGAGGAAGGCCGTTACATAACCGTTAATCAATTGCATTCAATTGCATACCCACACCCTTCAGAGTTGTGCGGACAGTACATTCCGAAAAATTCTCACACACCCTCCCGACTGCCGACAATCTGAGGTTATCTGGCTCTGCAGATGTCGATCTAGAATCCAATGGTGAAGCCATCACGCCTTTGCTCTCTGTCCTTGGTCTGGATGCAGAATGGCAGCCCAACACCTCGCAGGGCATTGCCCTGTTTCAGATGGCCTTCAGACGCAGCGTGCTCCTAAACTTGTAAGAAAACATGTGAAAACCGAATCAATAAGGTATCAAAAGGTGACAGCTTGCCTCCTTTTGAGTTTCTTTGGAGGGTGAGACTGCTTCCTTGAGTGCAGGTTTATGCAGCTTTGCATTGGGCCATACTTCCTGTAGAGATTTTATCCTTCACGGCATTCCAGAATATTCCAGATATGTGCTTGGGGTTTTGATGTTTTTTGAGATGGTTGCGAATCTGCCTCGTTATCATTTACTTGCCTACTCAGCTCGGTCCAAACGGTTTACTATCGTGTAATCATCTTGGGAAGATCGGTGTGGATGATAACGGCATATCGGCAGACATATCAGGAAGAAGCAAAGACAAATTCTTTACCAGCCCTTGTCGTTCCTCAGATTCACGTACATTAATATACATTAATCGCTTTTTTACCTATACATATCTCTTTGCGCATTGTGAGTTCTAACAAATCCGAGCAAGGGCCCAGCAGCATTGTCATTGCGCAGTTCCATACATCCCAGAATTCATCGCAACATTGAATTGAAGCTGGAGCCCTAAATTTTAATTCAGAGAATGGCCAAAACCCTGCTAAGATTTTTTCCAGAACAATCAATCCACTGATCAATTTGGCACGTTATTAATTGGTTGTTAGCTAATGTCATCAACAAAATACATGGCAATGTTCTCATCATCCTTTTACTTCGATGATTTCCGAAGTGCTTCGGGGATTTTCAGACATGGTTGATGACACCAGAGGGTCTCATGCATCTCATGTTTTCATAAGATATTTGTTTGATGATTAACAATCCACACAGATCAAGTTGGCATTTTTTTTAAAAATTTATATTTATATATAACTACACATATACACACACACATATATATATAATTATAGACATTATATCAGCTACAGCTACAGTATGTACCATTAATATCCCATTATTCCATCAGTATCCCGTTCAAATCCCCAGGTTCTTGTTGGACATGGTGGTGCTGCAAGACGCTCCCGCGCTGCGTCCGCGGGTGGCGGAAGTGATCCGTGAAGCCTTGGAAGCAGAGCAGCTCTACAAGGTGGCTGCCCCGATAAATGGACGTTTTTCGATATCGTTTACCCTCTGGTAATTTAACAGTTTGCTATTGAACATGGCCATTTATAGTGGATTTTAACCATTAAAAGTGGTGATTTTCCATAGTGATGTTAGTTTACCAGAGGGTAATGGGACACTTTACTAATACAGGGTTGATTTTCAAGTGTTGGATTTGGAGGGTATATGGTCAGAATATGGTCAGACCATGATGAAAGTATGGGCCACATTTTTCAAGCCTATGATACTCAACTATCAGGTTTCCTCGTGTTTTCTTCATCTTTCTGATCTTTCTGGGACTATCAGCAGGGAAGTCTGCAACTCGCTGATGTTTTGGGCTTCCGAAGCAGGTGGGCTTCGGCCTGGAGGTGGACCTTCAACGCTTGGCAGCAGTGATGCCGGAGATCACGACAGCTCAGAAGTTGATCGATTTGAGGCCTGGAGATCATTGGAGATCCATGGTCCATGGATGTCCAGTTCCCAATGGTTGGCTAATGGTTGGTTCATGGAGGTGTCGTATGGTGTCTCCATGTGTCTCCCAGATTTCAATCAGTATAGGACAAATGATGAGACATTATGTGACATGGTATGCCAAACAGACCCCTCTGTTTTTCCAAAAGCGTCCCAGTTGGCTTGGCGACGCCAGGGATGTGACGAGAGCCGCGTTCCCGGAGGAGAGACGGCCTGCGCCAAACCTGTCTGGCTTGGTCAAGGAAGTCTTTGGGCTGCCCTTGGATAAGACTTGCCAGGTGGATGGCCATGGATGGCCATGCCCATGGCCATGGGCCATGGGATGAAACCTCGGCTGCTTCAGCAGCCGAAGCAGGTTACATGGATTGAATGAGATAATGATATTAATTATTGATATTATTGATTCCCCATGTGAATTTATATGACGTGTATGAATGTGAGCAGTCATGAGCAAACATACCGTATCTCAACCTTTGTCTGATGGAAGGGAAGCAGGATGCACCTTCCACTTGACATTGTCTGGCAGCACCTGCAGAAATGACAGAATTTTTCAGATGAATTCAGTGTAGTTTGTGCCATTCCCAAGCAGTGTCTCAACACCAGCAGTGAGCAGTGAGTGTGGCAGGTGTCTGACTGGCAGCTGCGGCCCTTGATGCAAGAGCAGTTGGACTATGCTGCTCAAGATGCTCATATTTGCGTTCGTCTCTTTGACTCGCACCTCGGAGCAGTGCAAGCAGTAACCGCAGTAACCGCTCCATCATATATGGCAAGTTTCCTGTGTCGGCTCATTTTGGCGTAGCGAACGAAACCATCAGTGATAATAATTTAGTGATAATACTCTGCACTTGCAACCAGGCTCCACGTCAACGTTTTTTGTGCATCGCTGCGCAGATGTCAATGTGGGCCGTCTACATAGAAACGCGATTGTTGTACTTACCAGACGGCCCATCTAATTCCCAATTCTTCAGAGAGTGTCACTGGCGATTTGGCGCCCCTAGGCTTTGCTACAATCACGCCACTCTGGCCACCCAAGCGCTTCAGCCGTTGCTGAGTGATATGGCCAGAACATGGAAGAAACCAGACAGGAATCTCGAATGGAGTGGAAAAGCACCAGATTGCTGCCGGAGTTGGGCTGGTGGGACCTGCACATAAAACGAAATAGCGCTTCAAGACTTGCTCCACTGGGGGGCCTTCATTGCAGGGTTCAAGTTTTTTTTGTGTCGCCTCTGTGAGCTGCCTGTCTACCTGCAGATATTTGTCCAGACTGTTCATCTGTGGGTTTGTGTGGCTAGTGGGTCTGTGGCTGCCTATGTTATATACTATCTCTTTTGTGTCATTATCTTAGGGCAGGCGTCAGTGCTGTCAGAACCTCACCCAGTCCTGTTTATATGCAGGACAGATGCATATATATATATATATATAATATATAAGTATTAGTATTTTTCTAGATATTTGTATGTATAATATATGCATATATATATTTATATATATATCTATATGATGATTATAATTTATCATAATGTTGCTTTGATAGCTAACTCCTATGCATTCCAAAAAGCCCTGTGGAATGCGCTGCAAGCGCTTGCGCGCAACATCAGCAACATCGCCGAAGGTCCCAGCTGCAGCTCACGGCCAAGACCGGCAAAGGCCGTAGTAAGGGAACCAAGGGAAGCAAGGCGCACGGGTCCCGTGGAGGAATGCAACGATCGACTGGGAGTTCGGGGCCAAGTGGTTCTCTAAAAAAACTCCATACCTCACATCAAATGTCACGTGACATCACGTGACAAAAATGACTTATTCTAGCTTCAGATAGAAGTATAAACTACAAAGGATCAAGATGACCCATCGGAATCCCATTCAAGTACCATTAATCATGAATACTATGAATCATCGATTGCTAACATTAACCTATTAACATTGATCATGAATATCACGAATATCATGAATATCCAAAAAATATCATGACAAAAATCATGGTATATGATTGGATTGTCATATAATATCATATAATCCTCAGTCATTAATCATGACATTCATGACATCATGACGGGGGGTTCCTCCAGTGGTTCACTGGCGCCAGGGACTTTGGCGACCCAGTGCTGAGGTGCCTTAAAGTATGTTGCAGTAGCCTCTGGTTATGACTAACAGTTCGCCATGGAAAGATCCGCCATTTTTAAGAACGGTAAACCCAGGTAAACCATCTATTTCTATGGACCATCTATACCATGGCTATGTTAGTCATAACCAGATGGTAAATGATATATACTCACAGTAGATAGTAAATGATATTGAATGATATTGAATGATATTTTCTATAATACTAAGGTGTTGAGTGGACTTAATTAATATAGCCATGAATCTTGTGACTCTACTTCCTGATTCCATGGATTCAATGCAGGTCGCCCAGCGTCACACGGGCGAGTGGCGCTACCTGGCGAAGACAGAAGGCGAATTTAGGCGTGTCGTGAGATGGAGACGGGAGGCAGCTTGAAAATTGAGAGCCCTGCAAACATCTGCAAGTGTCTGCAAGTATCTGCAAGCATTTTGAACCATCATTGATGATCTTGATGATCTTTTGTTTGGCCATGTTTGGTCACGTTTGATGATCTGAATCAACTTAAGCCACTTGGTAGGATACAGCTCTCAGAACGTGGTGTGGGAGCTTAGCGGGACAACTTTTTGCACCGTGATGTTCAAAGAGAGTTCTTGGTCGTGAGCAATATTGCTTTACTTTTGGTGAAGTATGTGACTGGGAGATCTCAAATAAGCATCTGTAGCCTGATGGGTGCAATTTGGCATTTTCACTTGGCCGACAAACAAAGGAACGCCATCGAATACAAAACCCTTGCCCGCTTGCCATATTTACCTACACAAAATCAATAGATAAATAGATAATTAAAAATATGAATATTAAATAACTGAATAAATGAATGAATGAATAAACGCACACACACATATAATTATAATATATATATACACAAATGAATAAAAAAACAATATAAACATCAAATGCCGTAAAGTGTCCAAAGGCTATGGCTGTAGCATGGCAGGAGTCTTCTTTCCTCACGCAGCATTGGAGGTACGCTCCTCTTCTGTTGCGGTGATGCCTCAGGGGTGCTTTTGCCGCAGGCAGCAATGGGGGAGATGGTGTTTTTGCTGGGAGTATGAAGCAAAATATTGAAATTGACATGTGTGCTGGTCTTTATGGATTTGATTTGTCAAGCATGTTTCTGCAATTTTCCAAGTGCTCTGAGCTTCACTGATTTTGTGCATGTTTCTGTAATGTGATAGTTGTAGTCAAAGGTAGCTGCCAACAAGGGCTGTTTTGTGCCCTCTTGGTTTGAACAGGAGAAACGCTGGCTTCAAGCCGAACTACATCAAAACGGGGAGGTGCCCCGACCTACAATGTTGAGCGCCAGAAGTTTCATTAAATTTATGATAAATTTATATTCAAATCGGCATGATCGGCCGCTGTACAGAAAAAGCCAGCACTGAATAGACAGACTCTTTAAATGTACAAAGCAGATGAATATCAATCGTGCAGCTGCCAATCAGCTGCCCGTATTTTTTCCTGCCAGGATGCAGGTACTGCAAGAGTCCACTTCAGCGAGAAGACGGAAACTATGATGTACCTTGGCTGGCTGGCGAACCTGGCAGCTTTGTTCATTGAAAGAGCTGCAACATGGACAGTTTGGCCTGTCTGATGGTTCCAGCACGGAGCATTTTATGCAAGGTACGCGTCCCGTCCAGTTGGAGCAGAGTGCTTCGAAGAAGCAACACCAGCATACAGAATCATGACTTTGCCAGAGGTGGGGGGTGATCTGCGATCAAACTCACTTGCTTGGCACGTAGGAAACGGATGTGTGCCATGGTCAAAAGTTGGATACCCGCCACCGCTTGCGGCTAGTGAGTGTGGTCGTGATCGTCATGCTCCAGATTGGGGGCACGGCATGGTCATCAATCCATTAGCAGCGACTCATGCACCCATTGTTAGGATTAATGTTGTGATGGATGGCCATACCACAGCAGGCAAACAGAGTCTCCGCCGAAGATGCAATTGCTGTTGCCAACAAAGCTTCAAGGCTCAGCTCTGCATCGAGATGTCGTTGATGTTTGGAGCAAACTTCATGAACGATCATGTGGCAAAGCCTAAACCATAAACCACCCCTCATTGGGCCAATGATTGGAATTTAATCATTGGGTTTACCACATCAGCACCAGTCGTTCCCAGGATCTTGGAGAAAGGCCTTGCAAGCTGGGCTCCCGAAGTGTTCCACAGCGAAGCCATCGATGTGGAAAACCAATGGTTTCCCTAGGGAAAACGGCTGAACAATTGATGGGTTTTCTACATAAATGTTAGTTTACCCGAGGGTATGTAGCATGGATTTGCATGACTCAAGTTAGACTTTGAGTTCAATGTATTTTCACTCTGGGAACATTTTTGCATTTGTTCCCGCCCGCCTCCCGCCCGCCTCTGTCCTCTGGTAAATATATTATTTGGAACTTGCATGTTTGGATTCAACTGTGCTGACACAAGGCAGTGCTGGATTTTACGAATTTTCAATCTTGGTAGTTTATGTAGTTTGATGATACGTAATGAAAGGTGAGTTGACAGTGGTACTGGAACAAATCCAAGTTTTGTGGAAAAAGAACTAGGCTATTGGAAAAACGCGTTGTTTCTCTGCCAACTTTGCAGATGGAGCGTGAGGATTGATTGACTCGCACACCCTGCCTTTTTCTCACCCTGACCCATAGACCTCAATTTTGCAAGCCCTTTGCCGTCCAACATTCGGATCGCCAGTGTCTACATTTTGCCCGTTTGGTCCCCACCGGTTCAAGGACACTGAAGATACAGGGGTCCCCAGGAAAGTCTGGGTGAACAAGTTGAGAGCGGAAAGACGGTTGGATCTAGCTCCCTGTAGCCCAAGATGAACGAGTATGAGCATCTTGGTATACAGGAATATCAAGCCTGCGATGGTCCTTGTGCGTATTATGCAATCCTTCCCAGACATTTCTTCGGGTTAGCCGGGTTGGTTACATGAAATCCGAGTTGTTTGATGGTCATTGCATGTCATTGCTATTCTATCTTAGACTAGAAGGTCTTGGGCGAGTCATCTGCAGCAAGAGTATGAGCATTTCATCAGACACCCCATCACACATGCATGAGCCAACGCCCAAAATCGCATCATTGACTATTGACCATGACATTTTCTTGGTCAACAAATGCAGCTTGAAATGGGCAAAAAACTGAAGCAGGGACAGTATTAGTGAGTATGCAAGCCTCTTACAGTACTTCGTAGTGTACTTCGTCCAAGTCCTGCCATCGTCCATAGCCTCTATAATCACAAGAACTTGAGATCGCTTGATGGTGTCAGTGGCAGTCACCAGCCTCATCCGAGGTATATTTACATGAAGAAGCGCAAGGACTTCGGTCGATACTGTAATTTCGATACAGTTGAGGCGCCACGGAGCCGACATGCTCTATACTTGCGCCATGTATGTATGGAATAATGCATAAATTTAGCAACATTGCTTTGCCCCAACAGTGGCCTAGATATAGGCAACTATACCCTGCATGGAGCAGATGGGTGCATCAATCATCAGGCGAAGATCCTTGGGCAAGTGGAGAAGCAGCCTCAGTGTGGCGACATGTATGTGGAGCAGACCATCATCAATGCAGTCACATGGCTGCGAATCACGAAGTTTGATGAACTTTGGATGTGGAGGTTACAGTAAACATGGTGAAACATGGTGAAACATGGTGAAACATGGTGAAACATGGTGAAACATGGTGAAACATGGTGAAACATGGTGAAACAACATTAAACAACTGGATTGATATTAGTGCTTGATTTGCCGAACGACCCGCGTGCTCTTTTTTTGGGTCATTGAAGTCCATATTTTCAGGATCTGCATCTTTGGAAAGCTGGTCCAAATTTCGGGGTGATTGCCCAATATCGAACCACAAATGACCTGATGAATGACCATTGATGATGGATGATGATACCCTCTGGTAAACTAACATAACTATGGAAAATCACCATTTTTAATGGGAAAATCCACTATAAATGGCCATTTTCAATAGCTATGTTAAATTACCAGAGGGTATGTGCCTTGCAGATCCCAGGTCTTTCACAACATTCCGGAGTTCT